TTTGCCACCGGAAATGACTTTTTTCTTGATCGAACAATTACCGAAGCAATTGATAAAACAACTAACAAACACTTGAATACAAAAATCGAACACAACATTGCTGTTCTATTTGGGCCGTATTGACGAATCGACGGGTGAGAGATTTGATTGTGAGATCGAAAACATACGAATTGCTTTTTGGGGTCAGAGGAATTGAAGCTGCAGACTCTATTGTTGACCTGGTAAGCTCTGCAATTTGAGAAATAAGATGTGTACATAGAATTTTTTGATATAATATTATGAGTGTTGATAGATGTCCATTATGGTAATTTTAATTTAGCGTATAATGGACATTAAAATAATATTTTATTAAGTGTATGAACTGAGGTAACTAGATTTATGGAAATAGAATTTTCCTTAACAATAACGTTTTATTTTGCTTGGAAAAAAATAGGGATTTTTACCAGTCGGTCCTAATAATTGAATATATTACCCATTAAGTCTTAAGTTTCTATCTTATGCACCAAAAAGTCCTGTTATATTTTTTTTATCCCGATTTTTCCCCTACTACCAGCTGGTAAAAATCTCTATTTAAATTATCCCAAACACTTTCTAAATCTTTAATTGTTTATAATATTTATTACTCATTAATTTTTTCAATTTGTATTAACTTCTCTCTTGTTCCTTTTTTCAAAACTCTTCTTCTGTCTCATCTCTCTCTCTCTCTCTCTCTCTAGAAAATACCACCATTGTAATTATGGCCATGGCCATTCATCTGCAACCACCATCGTCATCCGTCACTAACCACCGCCATCTCCATCGGTCACCACCACTACCTTTGCCAGCCATTACAACCACCATTGTTCACCAACCATCTCCACCGTCGCCGATCTATACTTCACCGTCGCCATCATCGATCTATACGCAGTCGTCGATTTGCACTCCAACGTCCTAGATTTACACCAACTTAGTTGTTTCTATGGTGAAATTAACTTCAAACGATTACAAGCAACATTGATTCTCCAGAACTCACCTCCCTCTTCCTGACTCCATCTCTCTCTTTTTATTTCTCTTAAACCAAATCTGTTGTGTCAGTGATAAATGTATCACTGATATATTTCTTTGAATGATGTGTTGATTTGTAACGATAATGATGAGATTTTTTATTATTTTTTTTGTAATCTTTTAAGTAACAACTAGTGAGAAATTTATCAATGCTGCTAAATTTATTACTGAATATGTCTTTGAATCTTGTGTTAATTTGTGACAATGATGATGAAATTTTCTTTTTGTAATTTTTTAACAAACAATCAGTGATAAAATTATCACTGAGTATGTCTTTGAATCTTATGTTGATTTGTGATTTATGATTATGAAGACTAAATTTATCATTGAATATGACTCCTTATCCCCCTCCTTTATTTTCTTTGTCCATATTCTTCTCTTTTTCTCTTGTTGCTAGCATTGCGGCATTGACATGGTGGAAATGAAAAATGGCTAAAAAAAAAATCGACAGTGATTGGTAGCTCGAGAGTTTCGGCTCAAAATTGGCTCGAAAAAGTGACAGAGAAGGAGGAGGGAGAGGGAGAGGCTGGAGGAGGGCGGAGGAGGAGGAGGAGGAGGGACTGGTGGAGGGGGCCAACATATCGGGGTGGAGGCGGAGGCGGAGGAGGGGCGGAGGCGCGGCGACGACGATCGGCCGATGCGGGGCTGCGACGATCAGCTGATGCGGGGCTGCGACAAACGACGTCTTTTTGGGCTGTCGAGCCGTTCGAGCCGCTGTACTCTCGAGCTACCACGCATTTTCCAAAAAAAATATTGTCAAAGGTCGTAAGTGGTCTTTGGTGGCCGGTTGTGAGAGAGAGAGAGAGTGTGTGTAGAACGGTTGAGCGATTTCTACATATGGGTTAAAAGTCAAAGGTAAAATGGAAAGATGTGCTAAATTATTTTGGGTCAAGACCTCATGAGAATTAAATCAAATTTAAAAGACTGGCCTGTAATTCCCCCAAGAAATAAGCTACTAGGATTGGGTCCCAGAGGATAGGTTGGTCTAGGGCAAAGGGCTCAATGGAAGGGGCCTCGTCGAACAATATTGATGCTCGAGAAAGGCGTATCAAATAAACTTAAAATGGATGAGCATAGAAAATAAGAGATAAGATGAAACAAGGAGAGGTGGGGAGCACAAAGTCGTTTCGCCAATCAGCCTGATTGAGGTTTTGACGACATAAATAAATGCTAAAAAAATGGCTAAGCTATTGTCGAGAAGATATTTTATGGAAAATAAATGACATTCAACTATCAAAAAAGAACACAGAGAGAAAAAAAAGAGATATGAACAATCTCTAGTGCCGTAAATGAATCCCTTATCTACATTCCTATAAATAAATAAAAAAACACATCTCACTTTCGTGACCGTTATAATCTCTTTCAAATCAAAACATTAAATCAGATAATATTCACCGAGTATGCTTTTTTACATAAAATCAAAGACATGCACGAGACCATGTTGCTTTTTATGGTGCGAGGAATTTACTTCCACACAATTGCTAAACGAGTTTTATCCTAATTTGATAATAAAATTTATCCGTACACAACTTGATTAATCTTGAATTTTTTAAAAAAAATAAAAATAAAATAAAGTTGTTAAAGAGTATGTATCTTTTGTGATGGATCCCCAGACAAGACTAGTGGGTGTTGGGGGGTTTTTTTTTTTTTTGAGCTAAAGTTAAGAAGTTGCATACAATTGAATACAGCTATATATGTATCTATATAGTGGGGGTGCTGATGAATTGGTTGATTTGCTTTTTGTTCTGATTCATTTGCCTTTTCTATATCCACATCCAAAGGTTCTGAACCTGACTCTCTCTTGTCTGCTTCCTGGTTGAGTCGTTAGGTTCACATCCTGAGTCCCGAGTTTCTACAGTATTACAAATAAGAATTTGTTTGAAACTTAGCTCAATCAAATATGGTTGTTTCATTGATAAAAAGATTTGAAGGTCTACATTTCATTTGTTTAAGAGAAAAGCATATTTTTATGAAAAATATTTTTTTTTGTTGAGAAAAGTCTTCTTATGTTTGATTGCGACATTAGTAGTATTTGATATCAATAATGTATATTTTTTTAAAGTATTTGTTATCAATAATATGAATCTTCTTAATTTGATTAACAAAATAGTTTTGGATAGAGTCAAATGGAGTAAAATGATTCATGTAACCGACTCCATTTGATAGAATTTAAGAGTTGGTTTGGTTTGGTTTAGTTTATGTCAATAATATTAGAATAATTAGTTTTGTATCCCACTTAGGTCTCGTTTGGAAATTTATCTATTCTAGTTAGCTTTTGATTTTTTTGACTATTTTAGGAGATAAAATAAAGTATGTTTTGAATTATTTGTGGATATTTTTTTTTTTTTTTTTGTTTTTTTTTTTTTTTTTTTTTTTTTTTTGTAGTTGAATAGATGGTTGTGAGAAAAAAAATGATTGATTAATGTGTAGGAATAGATGATTGATTAAAATAACATTTTATTTTATTTTATTAATTATTATTATTATTATTATGTATTTATTAATTATTTTAACCAAAATCCTTCATGCCGAACACCGCTTAATTTATCGGGTGAGTTATTATTATTGTACTAGATGCAAACATAATTGAAATGGTAATAACTCACATAACAAAGTAAATATGATATAAAAATGAAAAATATTTGGGGCCCTAATTCTGTGGCTCAAATATGGCTCAAATGGCCAAAACGACGTCGTTTTGGCCATTTTGATGTTGTTTTGTACTCAAAACGACGTCGTTTTGGCCATTTGAGTCACATTTGAGCCACAAAATTTGGGCCCTCTACCATTGCTGTATAAAAATATGTTATTCTAACATTGCTTCTCATAATGGTTTCGGAACACCACTTGATTATATATTCGACCAATTGTGTTTCATAAATTTTTCACTATTGTTCTTACTTGTCGAGCCGTATAAATACATAATTACATACTGTTAGGCAGAAACACACACTTATTGATATTATAATGAAAAAAAACATAGGTAGAAAAAAAATTATATTTTACTCAAGAGGCAAACACAAATCATGTTCTAACTTAAATTTTATTGGCTCAAATAGTGAGATTCATCACTTTTGTGTCTCTTTTCAAAAGAAAACATCACAAGTATTCTAATACCAGTGGGTGTGAAACAATATTCCAAATAATGAGAGAGAGAGAGAGAGAGAGAGAGGGGTGTGGTTTGAAGTCTCAACTAGGTGTACATGAAACCATTGGTTCATTGTAGGGAGCTTCTACACAGTTCAAATGGCTAATGATAGGACTCTCAAACTATAATTCTGTTCTAGTTGTTGGGACTGAAAAAGTTTGCTGAATTATCATGTTAAATTGGCAGAAATTCAACAGTGAAAAATCATAGGAAGGAAGAAAAGATAGTATGAAATTTATTAATGTGTCAGAGAGAGAATTGAGTAGTGCCAAACCATAATGCTCCATCAGGACATAGCCTCACTTTCATTACAAAAATCTATTGCAATTAATGTCATCGAAACACAGTAAAGTTGATCAATTTACTGACAATACACAGTTCAAATAATTCTCCTAAATTAAAATTTTGAATCAAAACTCTATAACCCATCATAGCTTCTTCATTTTTTAACTACGTAAAAAGTGCTAATATTAGAATCAAATCGATCAAATCTGATAAAAAATTGTATGATTAGAATCAAGAAAAAGCAAGCATTGTCACAAGTGAGGTGAGATTTCAGACTCTATCAAGTGTCAAAAAAAATTTCAATCCCTCCTTTCTCCTTTTATTTGGCAAAAAGTTTAAAAACACATAATCGAATATAACACTCTCACATGAGGTTTCATACACATGAAACAGAATTGTATTTAATTATATGATTGGTTTTTGTGCAAATAAAATAATTGTTTTCATAATTTGTGTTTTTCAAAAAAATAAAAATAAAAAACGAAAACACAAGAGCTAGAGGAACTATGGAATCTTCTCTATATATCAAATAGATCAAATTTGAAAATTCCCTTAAAAACTTGTATTATTTGATCTGGTAACAAATCAATCATACACATTGTTGCAGAAAAAAAAGGCAGGAATTGTCAAGTTTCAATCTGTCCTTCATTTATGTGTTTAATGAAAACAGAAAACGAATACACAACTCAAACTGTAAAATGAAATCAAGAAAATTAAAAATAAAAATTTAAGGTCGAAATTTTTGCCTGCAAGACTGGCAAGTGATCTCCATGCACGTGGCATCAACCCGGCTCGTCGCCCTCTCCTTCATCCTCTCCGCCTTCTCCACCTCCTGCCTGGCACGCTCCCACACGTGCCTCGCTCGCGCAAACTCGGATTGCGCGAGCTCCATTTCCCGCCTCGTCATCTCCCTCACACGCTCCGCGTATGCCTTCTCGGTGGCAGCCAGGCGGATTTGCTCCGCTGCCTGCCACCTCATCGCCTCCACACAGCCAAGCTCTGGCTTGAGCTCGGTGTAGTCGGTGGCAAGTGACCTCCCAGCCATGACACAATCAGTGTTTGGCCGAATTGGCCGAACACTGATTGACAGCTGGAGGTCAAGGGATGGTGTGCCCTCGAATGGATCGGTGGCGGCTGTTGGGCGCCACAACGGTATCGGCCGGGAGGAGGAAGGGGTGGATTGTGGTGTGGGGAGGAGCTGTAATGGCTTGTGGTGTTCTTCCATTGAAGAAGATAAAATGGAGAGGGAGAAACAAGTATAAGGTGGTGAGGAGAGAAGGTATTTTGAGGTGGCACAACTTGTCTCCATATATATACTATGGGAAAATAATGGACTTTCATGTATGATTTGGACTATTATTTATTATTTTATGTGACTAAAATTATATATGGAAATGTAATCAAATCACATTAGTCCTAACCAATCACATTTAATCATAACTTAATTTTTAAAATAATAAAATATGAGACACTCGTAACATAATATATCGCCAAAAAATTATTAAGTATTTTTAAAATATTATATAATATTATTAGTTAATAAAAAATTAGAACATATATTAAATAAGTTACTTTTAATTATATCTCTTAATTATCTAATATCTCTTAATTATCTAATAAAGATAAGCGATATGTTACACTCTTAAGGGGTTGTTTGGAGTGTCTTAAATAAATGTATTTTTTGTCTTTTTAAATTAAAAAATTGAGGAAGAAAATATAGATGTTTGGGTTAATTTTTTGACTTTTTATGAAAAAATGTGTAATAAAAAATTGTAAAAATTGGTTTATAAGAGAAAATTAAAATTGGGTGTTGTGCAGCCGTAATTGTTGACTTTTGGTGAATAGTGTTAACTTTTTAACTTTTTGAATAATTTTTTGACACTTTAATTTATTCTGGACTTGTCAAACTTGGCCTAAATTTCACTACATGATTGAAACTACTGAATAATACCACGTAGTGATTATTGCCCGCACATTATGTCTCTTTTGTAGGGATATCATAATTTTATTTATTTATTTTTACATAAACTTTTGTACAATTTTTTACCAAAATTATATTGTAGTGGTAATTTTATTTTAAAACGATAGGTATAAAATGAATCACTATATATTTAATTTGAATATTGCTATTCAGATTTAAAAATTAAATTTATTTTTTAGATTCAATGATGTGTCAAGAAGATAATTTGTTGATAATTAGAGAATATTTAATTATTAACTAATTATCTTATTGACATAACACTAAATCTAAAAAATATATCTAAAAAGTGAACTTATATATTATGTTCTATTTATTTTTAGTTGGTATATCTTTACTCATATACCATCATCAATTCTAGTTCCCAAAATTGCCATGCTTCCCATGCAAAATGACTTGGTGGAAGTATCTTACTGTAATTTAAAAATTGATAATTAAGAAAAATAGAAATATTTTCTTTTAAATTTTAAAAAGTCAATTCAAGTTGTCACATAATTTTTCTTATTTTTTTGTATATATATATATTTTATAAAAAGTCTAAAAAATAATTAAAACAATCAATTCCCAAATGAATCTTAATAAATTATACTAAATGGGCAATATCGATACATAATAATGATTTTGTCATGAAATACTCTTGGAATACAAGTGAAAGATATAAAAATAATTGAAGAATATAAGATAATTTTTATTAATTTAAAAAAAAATCATTGATTTCAAGATAAAATTAAATTTTTATTACTATTTACAAAATATGTTTTATTCAAATTTCAATATTAAATGATTCTTATAACATTTGTTATTATTTGTCAAATGACAAAAATACTAGGGCTGAGCAAAGAATTCGTGAAATCCGTAATCTGATCCAGTCCAGTCCAATCCGATAGATTTAGATTGGTTTTTTGAATCCGCGTTCGGTTCCAGATTGAAGAATTTAAAAATCCGTAGTCCACGGATTGGTTCCGGATTGAACCCCACGGTTCCGGATTGGAACCGATCCGGACCGTATGCAAATAGTCTATATTTTTATTATACATCATTCCTCATAGTATCTTCTCTTATTATATATAAAATCTAAACTCAAACCTAAAACCGTATAATATCTTTTTTTATTACTTTTGTTTGTTAGTTTTTTAGTTTTAATTTGTAATGGTATAAACACTTATGGTGAAATCAATTTTTTTTATAATTATTTAAATTCTAGAACAGTATGTCGCTATTATAAAAACATGTTGCTATTGTGGAACTAATATTACGCTATGTTTATATTTTTATGAAACTAAAGTAATATATATATATTTTTTTGTTATTTAATTATGTGAATCCGTGGTACTGAATCGATCTAATCCGTATTTAAATGAATTGGTTCAGATTGGTTCCATGATTTAAACGGATTGGATTGATTTCAATTTTTTTAGGAATGTAAATAACAAATTAATCCTGATTTTATTTCAATCCAATCCAATCCATGCTGACGCCTAAAAAATATCCTTCATTTTTGTAGGTAGGAAGTGGGTGTTTTTGTCAAAGATGCCAATTCCGTTAGACCCAAACGGATCTCGTTATTTGTCATAGCTTTTTTGTTCTGGTGACGATAAATTATTATTTTGATAATTGACTTTTATTTTATTTTTTTTATTCATATTTTTGGAATGGGGTGTGAAGAGTAATAATTACATTGGCACGTGCGTTAGGGTGATGTTTGGGAAGAGGCTCTCAGGCTTTATACTTTGTGGTAGGCCTAGGTTGTCGGCCCTCACAAAATATATAGATAAATTACACATTCCTCTCTTTATGTTAGACTATTTTTTATTTTTATTTTGACTCTTAATTTTTTTTTAATCCTTTATATTTTAAGTTTTTATTTTTATTTTTTTATGTACTTCAAAAATTATCTTTTATTCAAAATTAGATTAAAAACCAATACACTAAGGATCCGTTTATTTTGGAGTGTAATGGATGGGAGGAGATTAAGATAGATGTGAGGTTAGTATTGTATTTGTTTGTAGAGTTGGGAAAGGGATTAGGATGGAGGAGGGGATTAAGATGGAACTTAGAAGGGGGATTGAGATGAAGGAGGTGGAGTTAGTATTAGAAAAATAATGAGAAGATTAGAAATTTTTTTATTTTTTTCATTTTTTACATATTGGGATTTTTTTTATAAATATTAATGTTTTATTTTTTATATTTTTTTATTTGTTTTATTATTTTATATAAAAATAATTTAATAATTCCTACACTAACAATTATCATCAAAATAAACACAATTTTATTTGATCTCCTCACTATCAATTCCCTCACTAACAATTCCTAACTATTAATCCTCTCACTATGAATCCCTTCCATTCTACCTCTGAAAACAAACGAGACATAAAAATATTTTTATTATATATAACTCACAATTTTTTATACAAACTTAAATTTTAATATAATAATATTTTTTTTTATCATATGATAGCTAGCATGATATATTTTGGCAACTTTAAATATAAATTGTGAAGCTTAAAATATCAAAGATAAAGTATAAAAGAGGCAAAATATACTTTAAAAAAATATAAAGTAAAAATAAAAAATAAAAAGAGGCAAAATATAAAAAATAAAAGAGGCAAAATATACTTTACCCCAACATATATTATACACAAAAAAGCACCCCTATCTCATCTCTCTTTGTCTATATATATAAAGGCTCTCAAAGCCCATGAAAAAGGATGCAATGTGATGTGGTCATTGCATTCGTAGATTTTAATTTCGTAATAATTGATTATCAACTAAATTTAATCCAACTCATAAAAAGAGATTTATCATCAAAATATCAATAAAAACTTAATTACAGAAGAATTTAAGATCGATCAGAGTATAATATGAGATTTCAAAAAAAATCAACTAAAAATCTAATTATTTTTCACACCTCCCAAAATTTAAATCTCAACCACTCCTATAAAAAAAAATTACTTTCTCCACTAAACCACCACCCTAATAGAGGCATTTTTACTGAATCCACAATTTTGGACCACTCATCGAAAGTGGGTCCGTTTGTTTTTGAGGGCTTGAACTTTTATTAATTTAGGATCCAAAATCATATGGGTGGGGAGGGATTTTTGTGCAGAAGATCTTTGCTTACACGTGCCATAGATTGGCCTAATCAAGTGGCTGTTTCTCCAAAGTATCTCTCGTTGTCGCTGTCTAAAATACCATTTAATTCGGTAAAATTATTCAATTTATAGTTTAATTTGTAATTTAAAATTTATAATTATCCTACTCCATTATAGTTAATATGTATATATATATATATATTTATCTCTAATAAAATATCAAAATAAAAATAAATCTGATAAAAATTAAAATATAAAATTTATTACAAATTAGTATTATATATATAAAATATTATGTAAAATTAGTTCTTGTTATATATATAAAAAATATTATGTAAATTAGTGTTAAATATGATACAAATTCTTAATAATTATCTAAGATTATTTTTCAATCAATTAACAAATTAAAACCGCCCAAAGTATAATTTGGTATCCCACTGAATCACACTGCGCATACCCTGACATTATATGGACAAAGAAACTTTATTATATATTTATACCAACAAAAAAATTCTATAGGTATTGTTTGTTCTCACATCATTATTTTCATATATTTAATGTCTTGATTTTAAGATTAGGCTAACTAAGTTAATTGTAGTATTTGAATCAACTGTTGGATAATGGCTAATAAAAAAAGTGCATGAGAAAATAATCTTTCAAAATTAATTGGTGTGAAGAAGGATTTTACTTACAAATTTAATGACATTCAAAATCTTGAACGCATGCCTATTTTTAGAGTGGTGTAGAGCGTGACATTGTGTACTCAGTAATTCCTCCCTCACGATAATGCTTCAACAAATCGAACAGATGAGAACTTGACGACAAAATTTCACTATTTCACCCAAAACTAATTAGTGTTAAGAAAAGTCTCAGTTATTCATGATATTAGATTTCACACATCATTAGGTGAGACATTATTAATCGAACTCGAGAAATTATTCATTATTCTCATGACAATACTCCCATTTCATTTTTTAATTAACACCAGTCATATTATTTGTCTCCTAATACCACCTAAAACAATGAATAATTTCTAACCAAGTCACTCTTTCTTTGCATGCATAATACAATGGAGTTAATAAGTGGGTATTAGGGGTTGCAACTTTAAACAAAAGGCTTATTCTTATAATTTCCGACCCTTGATAATGAGCATTTGAGACTCTTGAGCTAAAAAGTATATGATGAACATGTGATGTGAGAAAGGATTTTTTTAAAAATT